ACTATTACGCCCGCCGGCGTTTAGAGCCGGCTCCTGCAGGGCGTAATAGTACGCCCTACGTCCTTAAGGGGTTAATAGTGTCTTCAATAAATAGTCTGGAGAAAGCTGCCCCATACGCCTGCCTCCTTAGCCATGCCCCCCATTTTTTAAAACAAAGACTTCCTTGTCAGTGTACGTACACAGCTCTGACTGTACGCTTGAGCTGAACCGGGAGCCAAATAATCTGCATTTCAATGTGACAGACACTTGGTACACGTCCAGCTCCGTCATTGCGATGTGGCGGACACTCGGCACACTGCGTCATTGCGATGTGACGGACACTCGGCACACTCCGTCATTGCGATGTGACGGACACTCGGCACACTCCGTCATTGCGATGTGACGGACACTCGGCACACTCCGTCATTGCGATGTGACGGGCACTCGGCACACTCCGTCATTGCGATGTGACGGACACTCGGCACACTCCGTCATTGCGATGTGACGGGCACTCGGCACACTCCGTCATTGCGATGTGACGGACACTCGGCACACTCCGTCATTGCGATGTGACGGACACTCGGCACACTCCGTCATTGCGATGTGATTTTCGGCACCCGTCATTGCGATGTGGCTATTTCGGCTACACTCGTCATTGCGATGTGGCGGACACCGACACCGCAGTCATTCGCGGTCTGGCGGACTTTCGACACCCGTCATTGCGATGGCGGACACTTTCGGCTGGCGTCATTGCGATGTGGCGGACTTTTCGGCACACCAGCGTCATTCGCGTGTGACGGACACTCGGCACCCTCCGTCATTGCGATGTGACGGGCACTCGGCACACTCCGTCATTGCGATGTGACGGGCACTCGGCACACTCCGTCATTGCGATGTGACGGACACTCGGCACACTCCGTCATTGCGATGTGACGGGCACTCGGCACACTCCGTCATTGCGATGTGACGGACACTCGGCACACTGCGTCATTGCGATGTGACGGGCACTCGGCACACTCCGTCATTGCGATGTGACGGACACTCGGCACACTCCGTCATTGCGATGTGACGGACACTCGGCAC